CTCGGAGGACTGCCGAGCATCTTTTGTCAACAGTTGGCGTGCCAGATAGGGGTGTATGCACTGATCCTCTGGTGAACCAGATGGACCTCAAGATCAACATGACGTTGTCCGCAAGATCGTTCTTCAGTTTTGCACGGAAACTTCTTCATCATCATCTATGGCGATTCGGCTACCTGTAGAGCACCAGGGGCTAGTGCAACCGCCTTGACCTGCTCGTAAGGCACCTTGTCGAATCATCGAGTTAGATTCCAGCGTCCAACTTCTGTCGAGTCCACGCTGACTTTGACACGCAAGATAGATCGACTGCACGTCTTCGTATGCGGGCTGACACCGCCAAGCTTCGACTACATTCGTCCTACTGCAACACGAGATCAACTTCGTTCCAGCCGTCAAGCGAGCCGCTAAGCGAGCTGCCCACGTCGTCGGCTAGATAACGCCATACGCCACCAATAAGACGTTCTGTCTAAAGCTAAGTCATGCTTTAATATTCTTCTAAATATTCTCCAATCTTCGTATATCGCCATAATGTTTCTCCGAGCTGTTTTCTCCATATTTGCTCTCCAAACAATTTTCTGAACCCTGAACAGTCATGTTGATGCTCGGATGTCCCCAGAGACGGCCCTATCTCTGGCTCCTCCCTACACGTGCACGAGCGTCTGCCCTCTGCGATACGGGTGGTCGACAGCGGCTCCTTGGCGATGCTTTGTTCTTCCTACACGCACACGGGCCCCATGCTCCGCGTTATGGTTAACAGGCTAGCTAGGGCTGGAGACTCAGCTATACAATAACTGGTCGAGCGGTTTATATTAAATATAAATACATCTTCACACCAACTGATCGCCGAGTTACATACACTATTTCATCATCATTGCTAATTTTTCTCCAGAGTTTATATATTTTACATCATGTACTACCCATTCTATATATTTGTATTGCAGGATTATCATCCAGGTGATCGGACCACCTGGTGCTCGGACTTCTCCACCGATCAACTGGTCGGACAGCTAGGTTCATAGACTTTGTCATCGACCAGTTGATCGGACTGTTCACCGATCGCTTCTACTCAATGCTCACTTCGCCGCCGACCAGTTGACCAGACTGTTCGTCGCTCGTGCTTCATCGCCAGCTATGCCGGGGGCTCCTCGGTGCTCGGACATCGCCAGATACGCCGGGGACTCCTCGGTGCTCGAACATCGCCAGCTACGTCGGTTACTCCTCGACGCTCGGATTCTTCGTGCTCGAGGACTAAGTGGGCACACTTCACCCCACTTCACCTTGCGGACATCGCCAGCTACGTCGGGGACTCCTCGGTGCTCGGACATCGCCAGCTACGCCGGGGACTCCTCGTTGCTTGGACCTCACCAGCTACGCCGGGGACTCCTCGGTGCTCGAACATCGCCAGCCACGCCGGGGACTCTCGAACGTCGCCAGTTACGCCGGGGACTCCCTTGATGGTCGGATCTTGCTACGCCTCATCGGTGTGCTATCAAGCTCCTCCATGCTGTTTGGATCAAGTGCTGATCTTGGGCAGCACGTCTGGGGTCTTGATACGCGCATGTCAGACGACGTCGGCAAGCTTTCATACTTCTTTTTCTTTGACCCTGCTACAAGATTCATTCTTCATCTTCCAACAGGCTCAGGGACTAAGTGGGCACACTTCACCTTGCGGTGAATGTGCGCTTTTTAATTTAGGGCTCCGCCCGTGGACTGGTTGCCTGCTCGGCTGGTCTTCTGCCTTTCTTCTACTTTCTGACCCTATTACCATGTGACTACATCACCTACTGTCAGGCTCAGGGACTAGCTGTGGGGGTATGGCCCCCGGTATCAACAAGACAAGACATAGGCCACACCCTCAGAGGTGACCCAGCCCACAAGATCAAGGCGTGCACGATACTGGTCGACGTGCACCGCAAGATATTGTATAGTACCAAATATGATACTTTCCTTGTAACCCTACTCGTCCAGAGTATATATGGAGAGACAGGGGTCCCCTAGTTGATAGCTACTACATCTCATATTCAATATAATACACCAAAGACACAGGATGTAGGGTATTACGTCGATCAGACGGCCCGAACCTGTCTAAATCGCTGTCTCTACGCCTTGTGTCACCATCCGATTCCTGATTACGCGCACCTCCACCGATCAATCTACCTTCGTGGGATACCCCTCGGAGGACTGCCGAGCATCTTTTGTCAACAGTTGGCGTGCCAGATAGGGGTGTATGCACTGATCCTCTGGTGAACCAGATGGACCTCAAGATCAACATGACGTTGTCCGCAAGATCGTTCTTCAGTTTTGCACGGAAACTTCTTCATCATCATCTATGGCGATTCGGCTACCTGTAGAGCACCAGGGGCTAGTGCAACCGCCTTGACCTGCTCGTAAGGCACCTTGTCGAATCATCGAGTTAGATTCCAGCGTCCAACTTCTGTCGAGTCCACGCTGACTTTGACACGCAAGATAGATCGACTGCACGTCTTCGTATGCGGGCTGACACCGCCAAGCTTCGACTACATTCGTCCTACTGCAACACGAGATCAACTTCGTTCCAGCCGTCAAGCGAGCCGCTAAGCGAGCTGCCCACGTCGTCGGCTAGATAACGCCATACGCCACCAATAAGACGTTCTGTCTAAAGCTAAGTCATGCTTTAATATTCTTCTAAATATTCTCCAATCTTCGTATATCGCCATAATGTTTCTCCGAGCTGTTTTCTCCATATTTGCTCTCCAAACAATTTTCTGAACCCTGAACAGTCATGTTGATGCTCGGATGTCCCCAGAGACGGCCCTATCTCTGGCTCCTCCCTACACGTGCACGAGCGTCTGCCCTCTGCGATACGGGTGGTCGACAGCGGCTCCTTGGCGATGCTTTGTTCTTCCTACACGCACACGGGCCCCATGCTCCGCGTTATGGTTAACAGGCTAGCTAGGGCTGGAGACTCAGCTATACAATAACTGGTCGAGCGGTTTATATTAAATATAAATACATCTTCACACCAACTGATCGCCGAGTTACATACACTATTTCATCATCATTGCTAATTTTTCTCCAGAGTTTATATATTTTACATCATGTACTACCCATTCTATATATTTGTATTGCAGGATTATCATCTAGGTGATCGGACCACCTGGTGCTCGGACTTCTCCACCGATCAACTGGTCGGACAGCTAGGTTCATAGACTTTGTCATCGACCAGTTGATCGGACTGTTCACCGATCGCTTCTACTCAATGCTCACTTCGCCGCCGACCAGTTGACCAGACTGTTCGTCGCTCATGCTTCATCGCCAGCTATGCCGGGGGCTCCTCGGTGCTCGGACATCGCCAGATACGCCGGGGACTCCTCGGTGCTCGAACATCGCCAGCTACGTCGGTTACTCCTCGACGCTCGGATTCTTCGTGCTCGAGGACTAAGTGGGCACACTTCACCCCACTTCACCTTGCGGACATCGCCAGCTACGTTGGGGACTCCTCGGTGCTCGGACATCGCCAGCTACGCTAGGGACTCCTCGGTGCTCGAACATCGCCAGCTCCACCGGGGACTCCTTGGTGCTCGGACATCGCCAACTACGCCGGGGACTCCTCGGTGCTCGGACATCGCCAGCTCCGCCGGGGACTCCTTGGTGCTCGGACATCGCCAGCTACGCCGGGGACTCCTCGGTGCTCGGACATCGCCAGCTCCGCCGGGGACTCCTCGATACTTGGACCTCACCAGCTACACCGGGGACTCCTCGGTGCTCGAACATCGCCCGCTCCGCCGGGGACTCCTCGGTGCTTGGACATTGCCCGCTCCGTCGGGGACTCCTCGGTGCTTGGACCTCACCAGCTACGCCGGGGACTCCTCGGTGCTCAAACATCGCCAGCTCCGCCGGGGACTCCTCGATGCTCGAACTTCGCCCGCTCCACCGGGGACTCCTCGGTGCTCGGACATCGCTAGCCATGCCAGGGACAGGACTAAGTGGGCACACTTCACCCCACTTCACCTTGCGGACATCGCCAGCTACGTCGGGGACTCCTCGGTGCTCGGACATCGCCAGCTACGCCGGGGACTCCTCGTTGCTTGGACCTCACCAGCTACGCCGGGGACTCCTCGGTGCTCGAACATCGCCAGCCACGCCGGGGACTCTCGAACGTCGCCAGTTACGCCGGGGACTCCCTTGATGGTCGGATCTTGCTACGCCTCATCGGTGTGCTATCAAGCTCCTCCATGCTGTTTGGATCAAGTGCTGATCTTGGGCAGCACGTCTGGGGTCTTGATACGCGCATGTCAGACGACGTCGGCAAGCTTTCATACTTCTTTTTCTTTGACCCTGCTACAAGATTCATTCTTCATCTTCCAACAGGCTCAGGGACTAAGTGGGCACACTTCACCTTGCGGTGAATGTGCGCTTTTTAATTTAGGGCTCCGCCCGTGGACTGGTTGCCTGCTCGGCTGGTCTTCTGCCTTTCTTCTACTTTCTGACCCTATTACCATGTGACTACATCACCTACTGTCAGGCTCAGGGACTAGCTGTGGGGGTATGGCCCCCGGTATCAACAAGACAAGACATAGGCCACACCCTCAGAGGTGACCCAGCCCACAAGATCAAGGCGTGCACGATACTGGTCGACGTGCACCGCAAGATATTGTATAGTACCAAATATGATACTTTTCTTGTAACCCTACTCGTCCAGAGTATATAAGGAGAGGCAGGGTTCCCCTAGTTGACATCTACTACATCTCATATTCAATATAATACACCAAAGACACAGGACGTAGGGTATTACGTCGATCAGACGGCCCGAACCTGTCTAAATCGCTGTCTCTGCGCCTTGTGTCACTATCCGGTTCCTGATTACGCGCACCTCCGCCGATCAATCTAACTTTGTAGGATACCCCTCGGAGGACTGCCGAGTATCTTTTATCGACAGCGACGCCTTGTCCCCGTATCTATTCCTCCTGGTGGCAGATGTTCTACAGCGGCTACTCAAGTTTGATGGATCGGTCCAACACCCAATGGCCGATGGTCCGTGCCCAGTCCTCCAGTACGCCGACGACACCATCATTCTCTTCAGGGCGGAGACCGGAGGTGTTGCCAGGCTCAAACAGCTCCTCGACATGTTCTCATCGGCGACCGGCCTCAAGATCCACTATAACAAGAGCACTATCACGTCGATGCACTTGCCGGAGAGGGCCATCGAGGATTTCCTAGGCATTCTCAACTGCAACGTCGGCAGTTTTCCCCAAACCTACCTGGGACTGCCGCTCTCCAATGTCAAGCTCTGGCTTTCAGCGTTTGCTCCACTCATTGCCAAGGTGGATCGGTACCTAGCGGGCTAGCAGGCCATGCTGCTGGCCACGGCGAGCAGAGTGGACCTCGTCAACGCCGTCCTCACTGGAGTCCCCAACTATGCCATGGGCGCCATGCTACTCCCCCCGGGGTTGTCGCCGCGATCGACGCCCGCTGCCGTGCCTTCCTATGGTCGGGGACGGACAAGGCCACCGGCGCGAAGTGTTTGGTGCCCTGGGAAATGGTCTGTCAAGCCAATGAGGATGGGGGTCTAGGCGTCAAGCGGCTGGACACCCAGAACACCTGTCTACTTCTGAAGTTGGTACATCGCCTAGACCACCCGCAAGGCTCGGCGTGGGCTATGTGGGCGCGCAGCCAGCTATACCTCGCTGACCTCACGGGCGACATGGCCAGCACGCACTGGGTGGCCATACGCGATCTACTTCCCGCCTACCAACACATCACGATGGTCTCGGTGGGGAACGGAGAAGACACCTCCTTTTGGCATGACAAATGGCTCACGGACGAACCGTTGGCGGCGAAAATGCCGGCGCTCTTCAGTCACTTTGTCGGCCGAGCCACATCCGTGCGCGACATCGTCCATGGCGGCCTTCATAACATGCTGCAACGGCGACTGTCCAGCCAAGCCGCCGACGATCTACAGCTGCTCGACACGCTTCTAATGGACGTCGAGCTTGACAACGCCCCGGACCAGAGATCTAACTTATTCCAGGATGCCGCCGGGAAGCTCCTGACCAGCTTCATCTACAAGGCGTCCACTCAGGGCGATCAGCCGTCCCCCGCCTTCAAATTTGTCTGGCACTCGTTCGCGCCGCCAAGGGTAAAGCTCTTCGCCTGGCTACTCACAAAGAACAGGATCAACTGCAAAACCTGCCTCGTTCACAAGAACCTACTTCAACATGCTACCTGTGAGATTTGTGGGGCTGCGGACGAGTCGGCAGACCACATTTTTCCAGGTTGTAGCTTCATTACTACCTTCTGGCATGCTATAGGCTGGGCGCCGGAAGGGATACCTCCGGTGACACAGCTATGGGAGACGCTCATGCCACCGAGGATTCATCTTGACGTCGCTCACCCCATCATCATCCTACGCTGCTGAGAAATTTGGAAACACCGCAACGAGGTGGTCTTCAGAGGTTTGGAACCAAGCGTGGGTCGTCTTGTGGCTGCTTGCAAGGAGTCAGCACGCTCCTGGGTCTGCCGCATACCGAGGAAGAATGCTTCTCTGGCCGCCAAATGGAGAAACACCTTTGACATGTAATCGTTCCATTTACTCGAATCTTTGTAAGACTTTGTAACTTGGAGGGCTTGCCCCTTTCCACCAACCGGTTCTACCGGCATCAGTGGAATGAAATGCAGGTGGGGATTTCTTTGATCCCCCCGAAGTTTAACTCAAAAAAGATGTGACTTCATCCAATGGATTGTCTGGTGAGCAGACTTATCTATGAAAATTCTTAGACATTGAAATCTCAGACTGACGCTGCGTGACTGGTCTCAACTCTGAAATATGAAACCGCTCTTGTTATCGTGTTTTGGCAATATATGCACACATGGTGATGGCGAGCACTTCTTTTGTCTCAGCCTTTGAGGTCCAAGAGGGAAGAGCTGTGTCCTTTAACCTGAGCAATGGAGGCTGTGCTCTACAAATTATCATCATTTATCTGCGCAGTTTCAGGACACCATGATTCTTCCATATGAAATTTTGATTTTCAAGCTATGAGTTCCATTAGAACCTTTCAAATTAGAAACCAAAGTAAAATATTTTTCACCCATGACTATACTAGTACAGTAAAAATGCCACTTGCACAAACAAATTCAGTGCAAACCCAACAACAAAAACGAAAAATTCCATGCACGATAAACTCTCTTTATTGCATAAATTCCACTCCTATGATAGTAGTTGCATCAATCCTACTTTGTCTCACTTGCACCTATCTATAACTTCATCCACTGACATCCACTCGATCTTTATATATAAATATATACATACCAAGATTCAGAGTTTGTGATGCTCAATGTCTGGTATGGCCAGGATTAGGATTGCCAACAAAGTATGCAAGCACTCCTACCAACGGAGCATTGATGTAGGTGGTGGGCTCAGATTTCCTGAAATCTGCACGGTCATCCTCATAAGCATCATCCTCCCCCGGCCCGCCGACCACTGCGCCGATCAACAGGTTAGGGTTCGCGCTAGATGAATTGAAGTATGGCGTGCCTTCTTTGCACGCCATCCGTTGAGGATGGTCCTTGATCGAGGGCAACGACGATGCCCGGTGATGGATCCGCTGAGGGTACCGTTCACCGTACCCGATCATATACGACATTTTCATTGGATTGTCTCCTAACAGGTAATCAACCTGCAGATATGTATGGATAAATTCGAAATGTTCAGAGGGCAATCTGTCAGTTTCGCTAGACTGGATGTCACCGTGTAAGGCATGTATGGTGAAAAATGTCAGAGATATTACAGTACCTGCTTTTTGGCTTGAAGCCGAAGAGTTACAGGGCCAACTGAGACGTCTCCACAGTTGACAGTATGAGAGGATTTGGAGAGGTACTTGGCGTAAGTTAGGAGCAGGAAGGAGATGGAGGTGACATGCTGCATGTTGCTGCCTCCAGGCTTGTAGATCATGCCCCCAGGGGTGTACGTGATATGCGGTGAAGACGACTCTGGAATGAGCGTGCATATGAAGCTGTCTGCAAACTCCTTGTAGGACTGCAAAGATAGCGCATCGCCTTCAATGAACTCCTGCAAACATTTTTCTTGTACCAATCAATTCTGCACTGCTGATATTTTTCAGCATAATTTGCATTCAGTGATCGAAGGAGATGGATGGAAGCAGCCCGTAACCTTGGAAACAAGGACGTTGAGGCCGGCATGCTTGTTGTCCCACCCGAACTCGTTACTGCTGTCTTCTGCACCCAGGGTCTTGCCATTGTTCTGAATGTACTGGAGGAATGTGTCATCCTTGGAGGCTCTCCGTAGCCATGCTGCCCCCCACAGCAGCTCATCCTGCCAAGGATTTCAGTACGCTTTAAGACATTAGCTTGATCAGTTCTGAACTTCGGTGGTTCTGAATTTTCTCGGCTTATATTAAGCCTCTTCTTCTGTAAAAATTAGCGCACAAAACTTTTGCGTGTTCAAAAAAAAATGCTCTGAATGTTCTAACAGTGGAATATGTGGAAGCAGCCTTCAATTCTCATCGATTTTATATGAGCATAGGTTTTGATGAAATGTTGCATGTCGGCCCACACTAGGTACACTCTGCCAATATGTGTTGTATGTTTGGGTGTCAGCAAGTGGAAACTCAACTTTTTGTTGATATATGCTCTGTTGCCACTCATAGTGTGTGTTTAGTTTCAGGAATAGGGTCATTTGTTATTTTTTGCCCCTCATTTTTTTTATTTGGTCTGTGGAATGGAATTTTGATTCATCCACGAGCACTCTATCCCTCGCTAACAAATAATTCGTATAAACATGACAATTTGAGCACCAAAAAACTCATGAAGTGGATTCATGATGCACAACTCATCTATGAAAGTATGGTTCCTCAAACCAAACACTCATTTCGAGCTATCAATCGCTTATGATGTTCTACCCCTTTCCTTTGGCCCAACACATAAATACATAATACATGAGCAATATGTAGTGCGTGTCAGACAGGGATCAGCCCAAATTGCTAGAGGTTGGAGCGCCAGAAATTCATGAATAGAAACTTCAAGTTGTTCCATTGAAAACGATAGTCAGTGGTATTCGAGTCTGTCTCTGTTTTAGCTATTTCGCTGACATTACTGTTCTTTAGAGCATGTTTGGATAGGTGGGGGCCAATAGTAGGCATTTTTTGCCCATAAACATTTTTTGCTGTTCGGTTTTTTTATCAAATAATATGCATGGTTAGTGCTTACAGACAGATACAAATTGTCTGGTGGACTATGAACTACTCCCTCCGTCCAGAAAAACCTACAATTCTAGCACTGTGTTATAGTTTAGTATCTTAAGTTTGATTAATTAAAGCTAAAAAATATCAATATTTATGATATCAAATAGATATCATTAGATTAATTATGAAATGTATTTTCTTATTAAATTAATTTGAAGTTATAAATATGAATAGTATTCGCTAGAAATTTAATCAAACATTAACTATTTTTGTCGGCAAGCAACCCGTAGTTGCATGTTTTATTGGAGGGAGAGAGTAGCACAGATTTCCAACCAACGCGCAACTTCAACACAGTGTAAGCTTCTTTTGTGTGTTGCTGTGTCGAGGCAGAGGTGCAGAGGTCATGTCGCCATCTGCTCACAGAGGCAAGGAAACGAGACAAAGCATCTGACCTGGTAGCCATTGAAGTCGCAGTAGAACGGGCAGCCCCCTGCCCTGAGGTCAGGGTCGTCGCTGTACGCGCCCTTGTACGTGTCTGCGAACTCGAACGCCTTTCTCGCGCTCGTGAGCAGCGTCTCGGCGTACGCCGGGTCGGCATCTCGGAACACCATGGACGCCGCCGCCAATGCCGCCGCCGTCTCCCCCGCGATGTCCGAGCCCGGCCGCCCCGCGCTGACGTTGTACACCGTGCGATCCATGTCCATGTCCTCCGGCCTCTCCCAGCAGTCGTGATCCTTCCACGGATCGCCCACCTGCATTGCCCGTGCACAGCACTTTCAGCGACCCTGCATTGCTGCGACGACATGACAGAACGTGGCAGACTGGCAGTGCACAACAACAATGCCGCGCGCTTGCCTGCAGGAAGATGACGCCGGGGTGGGCGAGCGTCTTGAGGAGGTAATCGGTGGCCCAGCGGACGGCGGCGGCGGCGTGGCGGCGCCCGTCGCGCGGCATGGAGTCGCCGAACTCGATGACGCTCCAGGCCAGCATGGTGGTGGTGAACGCCATGGGGAAGCCGAACTTGACGTTGTCCCCGGCGTCGTAGTACCCGCCCTCCAGGTCGACCCCGGCCGCGGCGCCGTCCGACACGCCGGAGTCCCCGCGCCACGACGCGCGCTGGCCCGGCGGCAGCCGCCCCGACCGCTGGC